TCTAGTTACCATGAAAGATATGTATCCTATGTATTAGGTCATTTCGTTTCTCCAAAAATTTAAAAATTCCAACTCGTGACAGCCTTGAGCCGGATGCATGCAAGTTGAAAATATTCAACTCCGGTTAGTTTTTGAAGAAGAGATTTTGCGCATTCCCTGAATATTTATACACCTATTCATCGTTGATAACACTAATTTTAGGATTTTGTTATTTTGATGCTAATGTGGTCATAGCATAGAAGTCTATAAAGAGCATAAAATTGAAGTGGATAGTGTTATCCAATGATCATATTATGAACTTATTATTGGGCTTTCCTACATTAGAAGCAATGAAATTATCATGTTTTAAGGGTTTAGTCGCTTTGGAAATTAGGTCTTAAAAATTGAAAAGATTGAATTTGATATCATATAATGATGATTAAAAGATTGATCATAAGTCTTCTTAGTCTCAAGTGTAGGCTTGGAGACGTGTCCTCTATGGTTAAAACGAAGCTTACGTTCAACATTATATGTGTCACGCCCCGAGCCTACACCCTGGGCGAGACCGGCATCTGGAGACCATTGCTGGTCCCAGACGAACCCTTGGCCTGGCTTTCTTAACTCAGCGGAAACCTAACTCAACAGAATAACTCAATGTCATGCAAAGACATAAACAACGTAACTAATAACAATTACGGCCCAAAGGGCAACTCAAGTCTCAGAATAGAATATTTACATATATATACATATACATGGATGAGAGACTCAAAGCTAACTGACTGACTGACTGTCTATTGAAGCCTCTAATATACTGAGATGGATGTGGGGACAGACCCCGCAACATCCTAATAGAACAAAACTAAGTACACAAAATAATTGAGTCCTCCCGGAATGCAAGGAGGCTCACCACAGACTCTGGAGTGCTCAGCTGGATCAACGACGCGCAGGATGCTGAACGGGGGTACCTGTATCTGCATCATAAGACGATGCAGGCCAACTGGCATCAGTACATGGAATGTACGAATATGTGAGCTGGAGAAGCTGAACCACAACGTAAGCTTGAAAGGAGAACAAGAGATCACTTACCTTGACTCTGAACAACTCATATAAATAACTGGACTCAAAGTAAAGCAATAAGACACAAGCCATACATAATAAGCTTATAAAAGAATGTAAACAACTTAGATCGTTAAGGATAAAATGATAACAAACTCAACTTTTCTTTTATAAACATAAAACAGCTTTTGTGGGAGGTTCTTTAACCGACAACCACCACTATGAGCCTTAGTGATGATACAACGTTTTACCTCACGTTGCCAAAGGACCATCCTATACCTTGCCATCGATATAGGACCTTACTTTTGCTTAGTGGATCCACTAGCCTAATCTTACGTGATCATCTAAAAAGAATGATACGTCAAGTCCCATGTTGGCGCATGGTTCTTATGGAGAGTCGAGTTAATATGAACTCGTGTCCCCAATTCGGTGCTCAATACTACTCCCAAAAATACTTTGGCTCATGCTTTTAAAATAACTTCTTTCTTTGATTGAGACGATTTCTCAAAACTTAGCCCAAAGGCTCTTTTGGAAAACATGGCTCCTTTCTTACTTAAATGTAAAAACATTTAGAACTTCTTTGGGAAGTACATAGTTCCCTACTAACTTTGGAGAAATGGACTCGACTCTTTACTCCTTACTTTACTTAAACTCTTTACTTTTGACTTGTCTTGAAACTCTTAACTCAACTTGAGACTTGAAACGACGCTAAGACGTTCAATAACGACTCTTGAAAAGCTTTAAAGACTTGCTTTGGCTTGCTTAACTTCTAAGCTTGGCTCTAACTCCACTTGACTTCTAACTTCACTTGACTTGATCCTAACTTTCTTGAATTTAATTATGGATTCAAGGACTTGATTGATATTTGGAAGGACCTCAGGATATTTAGGAATGATTTGGGGATGATTTGGGACAGCCAAACTAAAGAAAATCTTCGAACATAAACTCTGAAAACAGTGGAGTCCGCGTCCTGTCCGCGACGCGGAGCAGATTTTTGATCACAGAGGGAACAAGTCCGCGACGCGGACGTGCTCCTCGCAAGCTGCCTGACTTTCTCCTTCGCGTCTCCAACTCTAAATCCTCTAACCTCAAAGGTTCCAGCCCCAATCACTTAGAAACATAAAATCCCTCAACATTCAATAGAATACCACTCAAAAACACAATCCAATCATGTCCCACAACCAACAATAATTCCAACAACAACAACTAACAACTTTAACAACATAACCAAACCTTTCTTAATGAATAAAAGGGGCTAGGTGTGTGGGGGAAAGGATCACCCACCACTAAAAGCTCACATACCTTGATAGGGATCACCCCCGACGAAAAATCCACGATGATCTTGACGGAACTTGCTTGATCTCCTCGATTTTCCTCTTCTTCTTCTCCTCTTCTTCTCTTCTTCTTCTCTTCTTCACTCTCAAGCCCTAGCCTTCACTCTCTTAGAATGGAACAAAATGATCCAAAGATCAGCCCTATACAACAATATAATCCCAAAAGAATTGGCTAGGGAAAAGACTAAAATGCCCTTAATGATTCCCGGACGGAATTCTTTGTCAACGGCCCAACTTTCAAAGGTCATATCTCACTCATACGAACTCGGAATCGAGCAAACTCGGCGGCGTTGGAAAGATCGCTCCGAGGGCTATGCAACCATAACCGGAAATACTTCTAACTCATCATGAGCTAGAAGTTACGACTGATCAAAGTTGGCCAAAAAAACTCACCTTTTCCATACTTAGCCAAAATTTTCCAGATTTTCAAATCCTTTCCAAAAATGAAAAATTTCCAATTCTAAGCCTCTTCAATTATTTTCACATTGCCGGACGTTACAATATGTATCAAACACATCCAATAATATTTGTTGGTAGACATTCCATTCACGTTTGTCTTTGATACATATAATGTTGAACATAAGCTTAGCATCAACCACACAGACAAAAAAATTCAAAAATTCAAGATAAGCTTAGTATTAACCACGGATGACATGTCTACAAGCCTACACTTGAGAACATGATGACTTACTGAAATTTCCAAATGATGAAGATTGGAGGCAATAACTTCCACGGAATGATCAATTTCTTCATCATCATGGAATGATATCAAATTCCTCTTCAATCTCGAAGACCTAATTACAAAGCGACTAAAATCCTCAATACGGGATGATTCAATAGTTTCTAATGGAGAACAGTTCAACAATAAATTCACAATATGATCCTTGGATAACACCATCCACTTCAATTTTATACTATTTGGAGACTTTCACATTATGGCCTCATTAACATCAAAATCTCAAAATTACTATTATCAAACGAATGTGTATAAACATTCCGGCAATGCACAACCCTCTTCTTTAGAAATTGACTCAAGTTTCACATTTTCCTTTACTCAAAGTTGTCAAGCTGAAATTCTTTTATTTTGGGAGAAACAGAATTACCTAAGTCATAATCAACATAGGAAACATATTCTTCGTGGTAATTAAATGTACTAACAGAGAAGGTATCAAGTGAATTTCAGAGATAACGCTACCTTTTTGAGAGAGCACTTGTAACGGATATCTGATCCCGTTGTCATAAGAGAGATAATGTGAACAAAAAGAGCTTTGGGCAACTAACTGATCGGTCTACCTTTGTTTTTTCTATCTTTTCGCTGGAATGCATGGTTGGTTTTTGGTTACAGCTGTTGTTTCTTCTATTTTTTTCGTCGGAATACATGGTTTGTTGTTGGTCTACAGCTGCTGTTTCTTTAATCTTCTCGCTGGAATCCATGATTGTTTTTTGGCATAAGCAGCGAATGTGAAGGAGAAGAGAGATCGGGCAACTGTGATTTCCAATATGAAATTTCCTTATGTTCGTAGATGAATTATTTTTAAATCATGAATTCAAGATTACCTTAATAAACCTGAAAGTAATATTGTAATAATGAAAAAGACAAATTTTCTTAATTAATTCCAATTCAGGTTTTGGTAAAAATGATGAATATTATTGGCAAAAAAAGGTTTGAATTTGTACTGAAGTTGTAGGAGTACTCAAAGTTGTAGTGCCTTAAATATTTGCAGCACGAATCACTTTTCGTTTGGACTATTACTCATGAAATGGTTTACTCATGTAAAGATTGTCATTTCTAAGCAAAACCACAGACAACACTTCTGATTTTGCCATTTAAAGCATATATTAGATTAGCTGTGCTAATTGATTAGTAAATACTCGTGAACAAGACTCTTGGATACGATTTGTGATAAATATTGGGAAACACATTGTTCTGAACATTTCCAGCAGATTCTCATCTTTGATATGATAACAGACTTCTTCAAGTCATTGCCTTCCTTAGTAGAAACTCTGAAAGTTCAAAAAGCTTATCGCCTCTTTCAAACAATGTGTTACGTAGCTGGTAATTTTAACATTCTAGAGATTGGGAAACACAATGTTTGACATCCAACTTTGCAGATTGATATTATCTCCTTTGACCAAATAGTTTCGCTCAAGCTGGCAGTGGAAATCATGAAACTGTAGCAAATAATATAATCAGGATTAAATGCAGCCTAATAGGAACATATTGGAATATTCCACAGACGACAAATAGGGAAAAAAAGTTCATTCCAGTAATGTATGATATAAAACAATTTTCAGAGGCTTAGAAAGGAAGTTCCTACTATGACTTCTCACCTTAGTGTAAATGCATGAAACGCAAAATAAATACTCCAGCATACCTTATAGAGGGAAACCACGTATATGGTGCATGCGACAATCATAAGCTACATACGCAACAAAGAGGAGATATTAAGGAAGAGTTACCTAAGATGGGTTAGAGGATCTTGTTTTGTATTATACAAACTGAATACAATAAACCGTGATCTGAATAGTCATCTCAAGCACTACTTTTAAAAACATGTGCAGTGACACATGATTTATGGTAGAGTGAATCAGAACACGCGAAGAAGACAAATAAGTTTTTACTTTAATTACCTTTATTCCATGGCAGCCAAAAAGTGACTGCAAAAGGGACTTGGTTAACCTTTGGGTATTTTAACAAACAAAATAATGAATCAGAATCACATATTTGAATCAAGTAAGCCCTCATATAAGTCATCACAATTACCAACAACCACAAAAGAATCATCAAAAATATAATGCTAATTGAACCTTTATCATCCTTGGAACAATTTTTGAATAATATCATGGCATTTTACAAAGGCAAAGATATAAAGCAGCAAAGGGCCTAGAAGAACCTTGTTTAAGAGCTTACCTCAAGAACAAATTATTTTCTTTCTAAACTCCGTCTTTATTCATGAATTGGAATCTAAGTAGTTGCAGTTGAATCACTGTTCACATCAGCTTTCATTTACCTTAATTTTTGCTTAAACACATGCATTTCAATCTTAGCTGGGGAGTGTTTTGCTAGACAACTCCCACAGTCTCTGTACTTCCTTTTTAAAGATGCACTGTTGATGTTTAAAACAAAAAAAAACATTGGCTTTCATGGCCATCATAAGTTCTCACCTTGGCTCTTCAGGAATAATATATCAACGACGTATGGAAAACGAATAAGCCTATCCAGAGGCAGAGGCTACTACTCCTTCAAAAACTGGGAATTCATAAGAAAGGATAGGAGAAATAATAGAAGTTTTGCAAAACTCGGGAAGGATACCGTGGGCATGCAGAGACATGTTTTAGAATGTCATTTATCTCCCAACAACTTTCTTCTTATTATTAGTTGGTCGATATTTTTACCACTTGATCTCCTACCAGAGTCCGGCCTCTAACTTTGAACAACACTCAATGCCATTGACATGATAATTTAGATGTACCATTATATATCTATCACCGTGGCACCAAAATGATCAAAGGATGATAACTACAACAATTATTGCCACAAACAAATTAAAAAAAGAATCAACACAAATCCACATATTAAAGCTGATCAGACTAGCTATAACTTAAGCAGATCTCGAGTAGTATTCGCTCAAGCAGAAAAAGAATTCAAATAAGGGTTGGCTAATCAACACGAGTTCCATTTATTCACAAAATAAGCGCTAAGGGATAAATTGCTAGCAAATGTCAACCGAACACAATGAAAAACCACGGGCTGATAGATACATGCACTTGGAAGAAATAATTACCAAAAAGCTAGGCTAAAAGTGGAAATTTTTAGTTGAAAGATTCAGTCTTTCAATGATTTCTTAAATGGCTTGAATTTTAAAAAAAAATGTGGGATATGATCAGTGCGCATTGGAAGAAATGATTACCAAAACTTATGCTAAAAGTAGAAAGTTGTAGTTAAGTAGATTCAGTCTTTCAGAGAATTCTGAATTATTCTCTACTACTATTACTAACAACAACAAGTGGGGGTGTGGGAGGGTGAGATGTATTTACACCAAAAAGTATTTTTCCTTTCTTGAACCTATTGGATATCTGACACATTCAAAGTAAATCATTGAGGAGTTACATTGACAAAATAAAATGGAGAAAAAGGTAAGTAAAATTACCAGACAAATGTGAAATGGAATGTCTACCAGCCTTACAGTCCCATGAATTGGATTCAAGTTGCTCTTTACCACAGTTGCTCGTACTTTCTGAACAAAAGAACTAGGTAAGGAAGAGACACACACACACAAAATCCATTTCTATTTTTTAGTTCAATGAGGGAGAGTATAAGTTGGAGTGTGCAGCGTCACAAGATCTAAAACATGCCAAGTAAATCCAATAATGTTCTGTATTATACTTTCTATTCACACCAAGTAAAAGCAAGGAGAAAATGGAGAAATTAGAGGGAGAGAGAAGTGATAAATTACAAATGGAAGAAATGAAAATGAATGAAGAGAAGCGTAAGACGACAAATTGGGCACTTAAAAGAGTAACACGCGGTATAATTAATTTGAAACTCCAAGAGCTCCTTTGGTTGGTCGTCCACAAGACCTAAAGCTGTAGACCAAATCAGTCAATTGCCGGATGCTCTTCTCCCTCGCTCTCTTATACTGATTGATCAAACACTCATAACAAGCGATCTCTCAAAAAGGTGGCGCTATCTCTGGAATTTACTTGATACCTTATGTTTTAGTACCTTTAATTACCATGAATGATATGTATCCTATGTTCATTATGTATTAGGTTATTCCATTTCTTCCAAAATTAAAAAATCCAACTTGATAGCCTTGAGCCGGATGCACACAAGTGGAAAATTGAAACTCCGGTTAGTTTTTGAAGAAGAGGTTTGTGCATTGCCTGAATGTTTATGCACTTGTTCATCGTTGATAACACTAATTTTGGGATTTTGATGCTACTGTGTCCATAGCATGAAAGTCTCTAAAAGCATAAAATCGAAGTGGATAGTGTTATCCAATGACCATATTGTGAACTTACTGTTGGGTTGTCTTGCATTAGAAACTATCGAATTATCTTGTTTTAAAGGTTTTAGTCGCATGGAACTTAGGTCTTCAAAATTAAAGAGATTGAATTCGATATCATACAACAATGATGAAGAAATTGATCATTCCTTGGAAATTGTTGCCCCCTATCTTCATCATTTGGAAACTTTAGGAAGTCTTCATGGTCTCAAGTGTAGGCTTGTAGACATATCCTCCATGGTTAATACTAAGCTTATGTTCGACATTACATGTATCAAAGACATGTAACGTGCGGTATAATATTGGATGTCTTTGACGGATGTAATGTTGAACATAAGCTTAGTATTAACCACATATGACATGGTTACAAGCCTACACTTAAAAACATGATGACTTTCTGAAATCTCTAAATAATGAATGTAGTGTAGGAGACAACAATTTCCACGAAATGATCTATTTCTTGATCATCATTATATGATATCAAATTCCTCTTCAATTTCAAAGACCTAATTTCAAAGAGACTAAAATCCTTAAAACGAGATGATTCCATAGTTTCTAATAGAGAACATCCCAACAATAAATTCACAATATGGTCTTTAAATAATACCATCCATATCAATTTTATACTATACGGAAACTTTCACATTATAACCAAATGGACATCAAAATCTCAAAATTAATATTATCAAATGAATGTGTATAAACATTTCGACAATGAACAAATCTCTCCTTTAAAAACTGACCTGAGTTTCACATTTTCCCTTGATCAAAGTTGTCAAGATGAATTTTTTTAATTTGGGAGAGAAACAAAATTACTAAGCCATAATCAACCTAGAATACATATCCTTTTCAAAGATAAAGCTACCTGTTTGAGAGAGCACTTGTTATGGATATCTGATCCCGTTGGCATAAGAAAGAGACTGTGAAGTAAAAGAGCTTCAGGAAACTAACTGATCGGTCTACTGTTGTTGTTTCTTCTATCTTTTCGCCGGAATCCATGACTGGTTTTTGGTTACAGCTGTTGTTTCTTCTATTTTCTCAGCTAGCTGGAATCCATGGTTTTTTGTTGGTCTACAGCTGTTGTTTCTTTTATCCTCTCGCCGGAATCCATGATTGTTTTTTCGGCATAAGCTGCGTATGTGAAGGAGAAGAGCGATCCGGCAACTGATTGGTCGATCTACAGCTGTTGTATGCCGGAATCCATGATTGTTTTTTCGGCATAAGCTGCGTATGTGAAGGAGAAGAGCGATCCGGCAACTGATTGGTCGATCTACAGCTGTTGTTTGCCGGAATCCAGAAATGCTTAGAAGGTATCGCCCCCCTTTCCCTTCAGTTTTAACTTATGCACAAAATGAGCAAATTGAATAATATATTGGCATAAATTTGGTACACTTTTGATATAATTATTTAAACAAAATGTATTTAAATTATGTGAAATTGAACAAAGTAATTCTTAATATGTATTTATTATTAATAATTTAGTCTATAAATACTCATATTGTTACTTAATGAGTCAAAAATGTTTCTTTCCTGATAAATATATTATTTTTTAAAAAAAAACACATTTTATTCCTAATAAAATATTATTTTTAAAGAACATTATTTTTATTGTAAAACTTAAAAACAAAGGAACAATATAAAAAGGAAGACAAGAAGAATAGAAGACAAGAGAAACAATATAAGATCACTTTCTTTCTTTCAAGTGTATTCAACATTATTCTCTAACACCACTATTTATAGGATTACATTGAGGAATACCAAATGGTGTTATAAACAGTACATTAAACCTTGAGAATTACTACCCATTAAGGAGGAAATAAACCTAGGAGTTATGTTCATCCATTTGACCACATTATCAACAACATTACTACCAATAAAGGATGAAATTAACCTAGGAGTTATGGTCATCCATTTGACCACATTATCAATAACATTATTACTCATAAAGAAGAGAATTAACCAAGGAGTTATGGTCATCCATTTAACCACCAGAATAATTTACAACACTCCCCCTTGGATGACCATTGATAGATAATATGCCTCGTTAAAACCTTACTAAGAAAAAAACCCTTTTGGAAAAAATCTTAGTGAAGGACAAAAGAGTACACATATCTTGTTATACGCTTTATTTGATGCCTCGTTAAAAACCTTGTTAGGAAAATCCATTGGGATAAAACCTAGGCCAAGGGAAAAATAGTGCAGCTTGTAGTTTACTCCCCTTGTTGCAAACATCATTTAATTTCTTGGAGACGACGCATTCCAGTCTTGGATACCAACTTTTCAAATGTTGAGGTTGGTAATGCTTTAGTGAACAGATCCGCCAAATTATCAGCTGAGCGAATTTGTTGAAAATTTATTTCACCTTTCTTCTCAAGATCATGAGTGAAAAAGAATTTTTGTGAAATGTATTTTGTTCTATCTCCTTTAATGTATCCTCCCTTCAGCTGAGCTATACATGCAGCATTGTCTTCGTACAATGTAGTTGGTATATCCTTTTTCATAGGAAAACCACACATTTCTTGAATATGTTGAGTTATTGATCTCAACCAAAGTCACTCCCGACTTGCTTCATGAATTGCTATTATTTCTGCATGATTTGAAGAAGTAGCAGCTAATGTTTGCTTCATTGAACGCCAAGATATAGCTATGCCTCCATATGTAAATAAATAGCCTATCTGAGATCGAGCTTTATGTGGATAAAAAAAATATCCAGCATCTGTATAACCAATCATTTCTAACGTGGATTTATTAGAATAAAATAATCCCATATCAATGGTTCCTGAAGATATCTGAATATATGTTTGACTCCACTCCAATGTCTCTTTGTTGGGGATAAGTTGAATCTTGCCAATAAACTTACTGCAAAATAGATATCTGGTCGAGTATTATTGGCAAGATACATTAGTGCCCCAATAGCACTAAGATATGGAGTTTCATTGCCAAAAAGCTCTTCATCATTTTCTTGAGGTCGAAATGGATATTTATGTATGTCAAGCGATCTCACAACCATCGGGGTACTCAATGGATGTGATTTATCCATGTAAAATTGCTTTAAAGCCTTTTCTGTGTATGTTGATTGATGGACAAATATTCCATTTTTCAAATGCTCAATCTGTAGGCCAAGACAAAATTTTGTCTTACCAAGATCCTTCATTTCAAATTCTTTCGTTAAACACTCCACAACTTTTGAAAGCTCTTTAGGAGTGCCAATGATATTTAAATCATCAACATACACAACTATTATAACAAAATCAGATCCAGACCTTTTTATAAAAACACAAGGACAAATAGGGTCATTTTTGTACACTTTTTTTAGCAAAAATTGGCTAAGACGATTGTACCACATCTGTCCTGATTGTTTTAATCCATATAAGGATTTCTGAAGCCTTATCGAACAATTTTCTTGCAAATTTTTATATGCTTCAGGCACATTGAATGCTTCAGGAACTTTCATGAAAATATCGTGGTCCAATGAGCCATATAAATAGGTTGTGACAACATCCATTAGACGCATTTCAAGCTTTTCATGAGCTGCCAGATTTATTAGATACCTGAAGGTAATTGTATCCACCACAGGAGAATATATCTCCACATAATCAATGCCAAGCCTTTGAGAAAAACCTTGTGCCACAAGTCGTGCTTTATATCTTATGACTTCATATTTTTCATTTCATTTTTGCCAAAAACCCATTTGTACCCCACTAGCTTGACACCTTCAGGTGTTCGGACTATTGGTCTAAAAACTTCACATTTTTCAAGTGAAGTCAATTCCGCTTGAATTGCCTCCTTCCATTTTGGCCAATCATTTCTCTGTCTGCATTCATTGACAGATTTTGGTTCAAAATCCTCACTTTGTTGCATTATTTCAACAACAACATTATAAGCAAAAATATTATCCACCACAATATTATTTCGATTCCACTTTTTTCTCGTCGAGACATAACTTATTGAGATTTCTCCATTCTCATTATTTTCAGTTATTTGGACCTTTTATGTGGTCTTGTCATTTGTTATGTCTCAGAGCTCTTCTTGAGCAATTTCCTTCATGATATGATCTTCATGATCATTTGTTCCTTTTCTTTTTCGAGGATTTTTATCCTTTGAACCAATTGGCCTACCACGTTTTAAATGTGGTTTAGACTCATTTGCTTTAACAATTTGTCCTATAGGGACATCAACTCGAATTGGAGCATTTGCAGCGGGAATATAAGATTTAGTAACCATTAGAAGGTTAGTAAATGCATCTGGCAGTTGATTTGCAACATTTTGCAAATAAATAATTTTTTTAACCTCTTGCTCACATTGATTTGTTCGAGGATCTAAATGAGATAGAGATAATGAATTCCAGTCTATCTCTTATTCTAACAGCTTATGTTATCCCCCTAATGTTGGGTATACTGATTCATCAAAATGACAATCATCAAATCTTGCCGTAAATATATCTCCTGTCATAGGTTCCAAATATTTGATAATAGGAGATTCATACCCAACATACACCCCCAACCTTTTTTGGGGACCCATCTTTGTGCGTAGTGGTGGGGCAATTGGAACGTATACCGCGCACCCAAAAATTCTAAGATGGGAAATATTTGGCTCATGACCAAAAACCAACTGTAATGGAGAGAATTCATGATAACTAGTTGGTCTTATGCGCACCAATGCTGCTGCATGCAAAATAACATGCCCCCATATTGAAACAGACAACTTTGTCCTCATTAACAATGGTCTAGCTATCAATTGTAGACTCCTAATCAAAGATTCTGCTAGACCGTTTTGAGTGTGAACATGGGCAACTGGATGTTCAATTGTTATCCCAGTAGACAAACAATAATCATTAAAGTCCTGCGATGTAAACTCACCGACATTATCAAGACAAATTGTCTTTATTGCATAATCTGGAAATTGTGCTCTTAATCTTATTATTTGAGACAACAACCTCGCAAAAGCCATATTGCGAGTTGATAATAAACACACATGTACCATCTTGTAGATGCATCTATCAAGACCATATAATATTTAAATGACCCACATGGAGGGTGAATTGGCCCACATATATCACCCTGTATACGTTCCAAAAATGCAGGTGATTCAATCCCAACCTTAGTTGTTGATGGTTTAATAACCAACTTTCCTTGAGAACAAGCAACACAAGAGAATTTCTTTGATTGAAGAATTTTCTGATTCTTCAAAGTATGTTCATGTGAATTCTCAATAATTTTGCGCATCATATTATAACCGGGATGGCCCAATCGGTCATGCCAAATGATTAAATCATTAGGATTAGTAAACCCTTTGTTTACTATGGTATGTGATTCAACCATACTAATACTTGTATGGTGTAATCCAGAAGAAAATGCGGGTAATTTTTCATGCACATATTTTTGCCCCAATTTTACTGTAGTAATATAAAGATATTCAACCTTTCCTTCATTGGCAGTCTCAGCATGATAGCCATTTTGGCGAATAATGTTGAAACTTAATAAGTTTCTTTGAGACTTACTACAATACAATGCATTTTTAATATTTTATATCGTTCCCCCAGGTAGTAGTAAGACCGCTCTTCCAAAGCCCTCTATTAATTTTGCACTACCAGATATTGTATTAACATAAACCTTTTTCATAATCAAATTAGAGAAATATTTCCTTTCTCTTAAAATAGTGTGAGTTGTAGCGCTATCAAGAAGACACATATCTCCATTACTCATCTTGAACCAATTAAAGATTGGGAAATTTTATTTATCTTCATAAAATAAAAGTACATCATAAGAAATATGAAAAATCAACAACTTTGCAAGAAAATAAAATTACTTTTTTTTTCTGAATATAAAAACAACATAAGGAAAACATAACAATTAAAAGCACATAAATAAAACAACATAATTATTTTCCCCAATCAAATGATCAAGCATTAGTTTTGATCTCCAAAGAAGTCTTCAACTTCCAAATGAGTAATATCATCAAGGTCATCAAAATCATCATCTTTTAAAGCCAAATTTGCTTCAATATTGTCATCATATTTTTGTGAAGGCCCTGCGTCGACATCATTTTTATAAGTCAAGAGTGATTCCAACCGAGCATTAGAAGAAGATGCACCATTTTTATTTCATTTTATTTTCAAGGAATCTTGATAAAGCTTAACAAAATGCTCAACTGCTCGGCATTCATTCTTCCAATGCCCTTTCATGCCACAACGATGACAATTGCCTCTTGAAGGATTGCTTTGAGAACCCATATTGTTCTCCCTTTTGTGACACCACCACCACGACGATTGTTATATCGTCCTCTACCATTGCCACGTCCACACACATTATTTTGGCCCTGATTTTTATTTTGTCTTCTTTCAGACTAACCATGTGCTTCAACCTCATTTGCTTCCGATAACGGAGCAGTTTCTGTGGGACGAGCCTCATGGTTTTTCAATAAAAGAGTATTATGTTGCTCATCCACAATAAGGCATGAGATCAACTCAGAATACTTTTTGAATCCCCTTTCACAGTATTGCTGTTGTAATACCAAATTTGAGGCATGAAAAGTTGTGAGAGTCTTTTCTAACATGTCCTCATCTTTTATATCTTCCCCAGATAATTTCAATTGGGAAGTAATTTTGTATACAATAGAATTATATTCACATATAGTTTTAAAATATTGTAACCGCAAGTGAATCCATTCATAACGAGCCCTTGGCAAAACCGTTGCCTTAAAGTGGTCATACCTTTCCTTCAAACCAGTCCACGATTCAAGTGGATCTTTCACCGTAAGGTATTCAACCTTCAATCCTTCATCCAGATGATGACGAAGGAAAATCATTTTCTTTGCTTTGTCCTGACTCGACGTTGTATTACCATTGGTAATAGTGGCACCAAGGCATTTAGCATCAAGGTGAATTCAGCATCCAGTACCCATGACAAGTAATTATTTCCAGAACTGTCAAGTGCCACGAACTCAAGCTTTGATATATTCGACATGATAAAACTATCATAGAAAATAATTAAATTAGAGTAAAATAGACAATGAGTAAATAATTAAGTAGCAAAACTTTTTTTTTCATCAAAAGTAAAATTAGCATACAATCTAAATTAATATTATGCCTCACAAATAACAAAAATAACTTTTAGTAAAATTGTTAGATAAAATCTTTTCATTAAAAATTAATCATAGTATAGATAATTCACTTTTTCCATTGAGAACAAAAAACACTAGAATTTGTAGTCCATTCATATTTTTTTTTCACAAAACAATGACCGTCATCTTCTCTTCGCAAAATCGATAAATGGTTAGGATTTTTTCATTCAATTATAAATAAAATATAAAGTAGAAAAAGTATAGCCACAATACAATAATTTTAACATTAGATTATGAATGGATACCTCACAAGATGTAACAAACCGAAATCCTCACTATATTAATAAGAGCACTGGAACATTATTACAACATTAAGATTCTAATTGCAATAATCAAACTACCGAATTATAATGGAAATTTTGAAATAACAAGTAATTAAAGATGGAGAGAAGAATGGAGATGAGAAGCTTAGACTCTAGAAGAAGAGGAGAGGACAAACATTTTCTTCAATATGCATAATCCCTAAATCAGTGACTGCTGCCTCTTTTGATGGAATCATTCTCACATCCACTACTCGACCCGGATCCCAAATTAACCTGGCCCTATTGCTTGTTCTCGATCCAATAGTTCTTTCCAGCCCAATAACTACTTGTGTGACCTTGGTATTCATATTGGGTTGGACTTGGTTCATAACACAAGAAATGTTGTTCAACCTTGAGATTTCGTGCTGATAACGTATTGTGAAACTTAAGAACAAATGAACAATATAAAAAGGAAGACAAGAAGAATATAAGACAAGAAAAACAATATAAGATCACTTTCTTTCTTTCAAGTGTATTCAACATTATTCTCAACACCACTATTTATAGGATTACATTGAGGAATACCAAAGGGTGTCATACACATTACATTAAACCTTGAGAATTACTACCCATTAAGGAGGAAATAAACCTAGGAATTATGCTCATCCATTTGATCACATTATCAACAACAATACTACCAATAAAGGATGAAATTAACCTAGGAGTTATGGTCATCCATTTGACCACATTATCAACAACATTACTACTCATAAAGAAGAGAATTAACCAAGAAGTTATGGGATCCATTTAACCACCAAAATGATTTACAACAATTTTGTTTATTTTGTTGCACTCTCCAAATCACTAAACAACCAAAAGTCCCTAAGAAAATATTTTGTACTTACATTGATTCAATCTAGACTCGAGTCCTTCAATGAAAATAAGACTCAAAACATTGAACTGGCTAATGAAGAAGAAGAAGCTGGAGGAGGTTCAGGACCAAACCGGCTAATAATCATATCATATCATATATTACTATAAGTGAAAAGCTCCAAAATAAAAAGTTGAATTACCATTTTTCCCCTTTACTAAATTAAAATTTGATTAATTATTTAATCAAATACAAATATTTTAATCACATAATGGTAGAATTTGAAGTTCATAAGCCCTTTAATAATTAAATTGTTATTTTCTTGATAAATGAGTACATTGATATTGCTTTTAATCATAATCATAAATCTCATAACAGAAGAATTTGAAAAGTTATGATTGATAAAAGGCATAATACATAAACATGATCCCTTGGCATCAGCTGACAACTATGACCTTTAACTTTGAGTTTGCACAAGTAGACACTAAAACTTGTATAAAATTGAATAAATGAACACATTCCTCCTACATGGCACCATATATGGCAATTTTGTGTCCTACGTGGTGTGTATTATGTCATGTAGGACATGTGTGTCTACTTGTTCAATTTTATACAAGTTTAAGTGTCTACTTGTGCACACTCAAAGTTGGAGGGCATAGTTGTCCGCTGAAGCCAAGTTAAGGGTCATATTTATGTATTAGGCCTTGATAAAACAATGTAAAACCGATTTTTTTTTCTTTTGAAATAACATTTTTCCTTCTATATAGACTCTATTGTTTAATATTGAAGTCAAGAATTTGAAGAGGTGTCATCATATATATATATATATATATATATATATATATATATATATATATATATAAAACTAAAAGTGGGTAGCTTTGAAAAGTTAAATTATAATTTTACCCTTAGGCTAAATTAAACATCTAATTAATAAATTATTAAATAATAACATTTTAATTATTATTTGAATTTTTAGTTATTTATTATAAACACAATGAAAGAATCATTATATTTATTTTAATAGTATTGACCTTTCAATTTTCCATGTGACTTTTCATGTTTCCGTAATTTTTGGGAAGCTCCAAAGATGAAAAGTTAGATCACCATTTTACCTAGGCTTAATTAAACATCTAATTATTTAAATATTAAATATTAATAATTTAATTATTATTTGAATTGTTAGTTATTTATTATAAAGAGATGAAAGAATCATTATATTTATTTTAATAGTATTTGACCTTTCAATTTTCCATGTGATTTTTCATGTTTCTGTAATTTTTGTCCTAAAAATTTAACTTTTCCAAGAAAGACTTTTATTTACCACTCCTACAATTCTTGTGTGTAGAAGCTCTAAACAGGTAAAATAATGTCACAATTTGTGGTGAAAGTTGTGAGATCCCCTTATACAGTGATGGGAATAGACAAGAATTCAACTATTGAAGCATCGAAGGTTGGTGTGTTAGTTTTATACTTATTTGTAGTAATTAGAATTATAATAAGACTTTTCTATCTCTCTTCATATAGCTGAATTGTTGTTTTGTTAGCAACTTGCTTTAATTTAAATATTTTATTTTTGTATGCTCAAATATTCAGTTTGCATTATAGAGACAAACACAATAAAATAAAATAAAGCCTAATTGTCTTGGTCATGTGTATCTTTTTTTTTGTTCTTTGTACTTATAATTTTATGTCACGCCCCGAGCCTACACCCTGGGCGGGACCGGCACCTGGAGATCATTGCTGGCCCCAGGCGAACCCTTGGCCTGGCTTTCTTAACTCAGCGGAAACCTAACTCAATAGAAAACTCAATGCAAATGCAAGATTTCAAAACAACTTAACTTATAAAATCTGGCCACAAGGGCAACTCGAATCTCAAAATAGAACATTTATATAGAAAACATAGATAAGAGACTCAAAACTAACTGACTGACTGTCTATGAAGCCTTTAAAATACTGAGATGGATGTTGGGACAGACCCCGCAACATCCTAATAAAACAAAACTAAGAGAACAAAATACTTGAGTCCTCTGGAATGCAAGGAGGCTCACCACTGACTCTGGAGTGCTCAGCTGGATCAACGACGTGCAGGATGCTGATCCGGGGTACCTGTATCTGCATCGTCATAAGATGCAGGCCAACTGACATCAGTACATAGAATGTACGAGTATGCGAGCTGGAAAGCTAAACCACAACTTAAGCTTGAAAAGAGTACAAGAGAACACTTACCTTGGCTCTGTTCAACTCATGAATAACCGAACTCAATATATAAAGCAATAAGACACATGCAATATATAAATCTTGTAAAACTCTTAAAACATGACGTAAATATCATATTTATAATATCATGAAAATACCATGCTTCCTCTCAAAGTCTACTTGTGCAATGTATGAATGAAGTCCCATACCCCATCCACACTAAGCAGAACTATTTGAGGAACCAAGCTTTTTCTATTGTGGGAGCTTCTCTAACCGACAAACCACCACTATTAAACTTAGTGGTGATACAACGTTTTACCTCACGTTTCCCAAGGACCATCCTATACTTTGCCGTGATATAGGAAGCTAACTTTACCAAGTGGATCCACTAGCTTAACTTTACGGATTCATCTAAAAAGTATGACCCGTTAACTCCCATGTTGGCGCATGGTTCTTATGGAGAGTTGAGTTTATATGAATTCGTGTCCCCAATTCGGTGCTCAAGACTACTCCCAAAAATACTTAGCTCATAAGTGTTTTAAACACATCTTTCTTTATTTGAGATAATTACTCAAAACTTTGCCTGAAGGCTCACTTGGAATCGATGTTCCTTTTCTTACTCAAATGTAAAAACATTTAGAAATCCTCTTTCGAAAATACATAGTTCCCTAATAACTTTCGAGAAATGGACTCGACTTTATGCTCTTGACTTGACTTGAAGCTCTATACTCTTGCTTGACTTGGAACTTGGAACGAAGTTAAAACATTCAATAACAACTCTTGAAAAGCTTTGAGGACTTGCTTGGACTTACTTCTTAACTTTGCTTGACTTGACTCTAACTTCCCTTAACTTCGATCCTAACTTGCCTTGAATTGAACTATGGATTCAAGGTATATGATCACATGTTTATGGAGGGATTCTTGATGTTTAGACGCACTTTGGAGTGCCGAAAACAACTATGAAACATAGGTACAATACCATGGAACATGCATGAGAAAGTGGGGAAGGAATGGGGGAACTTGGCGTCCATGGCGCTCTGCAAGGCGCGGAGCACCAGCCCTTGAAATTCAGAGGGGGCATGTTGGTGCTCTGCTAGGAGCGCCGCCCCAAGGGGGAAAGTTCAGAACCCCTTTTGGGGCGCGCTGGCAGGCGCGACGCGCCAACCCCTTGCCCAGAAAACTCGACTTTTCTCCCTTGTTTTGCCAACTCTAAACCACCCTTACTTCAAGGGTTTCAACTCCAAACACTAAGGATCCTAAAATCCCTCAACATACAAGAGATTTCAACTCAAAAACACAACCAAGTCATTTCCCAAATCAACAATAACTTCAACAACACAATCAACAACATCAACAACACACCCCTACAACTTCAACAACATACCCAATCTTTTCTCAATAATGAAAATGAGTTTGGTGTGTGGGGGAAAGGATCAACCCACACTAAGAACTCACATACCTAGTAGGGATCACCCCCGACGATATCCACGACGATCTTTGACGAAAACTTGTTGATCTCCTCTTTTTTCTCTTCTTCTTCTCCTTCTTCTCCTCTTCTTCTCTTCTTCACTCTCAAGCCCTAGCTTTCACTCTTTTAAAATGGGACAAAATGATCCAAAGATCAGCCTAACACAACAATATAATCCCAAAAGAAATGGCTAGGGAAAAGACCAAAATGCCCCCTGCCAACTGTCCAACTTCCAAAGGGCATATCTCACTCATACGAACTCGGAATTGAGCTAACTCGGTGGCGTTGGAAAGAACCTTCCATAAGATTCTCAACCATAACTGGAACTACTCCTAACTCATCCTGAGCTAGGAGTTATGACTGCTCAAAGTTGGCCAAAAACTCACCTTTTTCCACACTTAACCATTTTTTCCAGATTTGAATTTTATTCCAAAAAAATGACTATTTCCGATTTTTAAGACTCTTCATAGATATTTCAAATTACCGAATGTTACATTTTACATATACATTAACTTTCATCTTAAAGAATGAATGTGAGAAAATGTTTACTCTTTTTTTTTTGGAAAAAAGAAGAAGAAGAAGGTGAAACATATAGTTGAATTACGGTTTTACCCTACTATAAATTAAAATGTTATAAAATATTTAATTATTTAATTTAAATATTAAATTGATTCATTTTAATTAACATGTTAATGATTTTGCACTTCCTTATATTATTAATTCCTAATTAAAATATCTAATTTAATAATACTTGTCATCTATAATCTATATGTATACAATAAGAAATTAATAAATATATCATCTCATATTATACTAACAGTGAGAATAATGTTAGGCAAAAATTAGATTACCATTTTGTCCCTATATCAAATACAAATACTATTAATCATCTAATAAATTATTAATTAAATATTAAATAGTAAATTTTAATTACTACAAGGGAGAGTTACACATTAAGCCGATATCAAATTTATCAAATTCTTTCGGTTACAATTTATTCATGTTGCATGGTGAATTAATATTAAATTGTTATAAGTAATTATTATCAAGAAAATAAAAAGACTACTAATTATATTGTTCAATGAATTAAAGGTGAAGACCAAAAGTTACATAATTAAATAGGAAACTTGTAACATCTCGAAATTTGAAATAACTAGGAAGAAGCTTATAATTGGAAATAGTCATTTTTGGAAAGAATTAAAAATCTGGAAATTTGTCAAGTAAGGAAAAGTTGAGTTTTGGTAAACTTCAAACAGCCATAATTCCTAGCTCAAGATGATTTAGGTGTACTTCCAGATATGGTTGCAAATCTCTTGGAAGGATCTTTCCAACGCCGCCGAGTTTCTGGAAATCCGAGTTTGTATGAGTGAGTTATCCCCTTTGGAAGTTGGGCTGTTAGAATAAGAAAAGTCGAATCCGGATTTTTAAGGGTAGTTCGGTCTTTTCCTTACCCTTTTATTTCAATTCATTTTTTTTTGTAATTAATTAGGGGCCTAAGATGAATTAGATCAGTTTACACTTTTGGAAGAAGGGTTAGGGTTTTGAGAGAAGAGAAAAGAAGAGGAGAAAGAAGAAGAATCACCAAGATCGTCGAAGTTTAACTTGTGGAATTCGTCGGGGGTGATCCCTACAAGGTATGTGAGATCACATAGCGTTGGGTTCTTTCACCCACACGCCAATCATGAGTTATTTAGCGTAATTTCGTTCTGAAATTTAAGGATTTAAGTTCTTGATGAGTTCTTGATAAGTGTTCTTGAAGTTTCATTAAGTTTTAATGTAAGATTCTACTTGGGTCAATTTTAAACGACCATATATCTTAGAATATAAAGAGTTACGTGATCCATAACCTATCCAATTGAAGGTAATTGAATCTACTTTCCAACGCCACCAATTTTGCGTCAATCCAATAACTGAGTAAAAAGCTATGACTATTTTAGTAACCTATACAGTGCTGTTACGAATTAGCCGACGGGAAAATATTAAAAAGAGTCGTTTTTGTCTTTTTTCCTCCAAGAAAATCATAAACGAATTTCTTGACTTATAAAAAGCTCAAAACAATCAAATTTTCATCTTCACTCATGAAAATCATAATTTTTGGCCATAGAGATTTCAAGAAACTAATTCAAGAATCTCAAGAAAGGTCTTCTTGATTGTTCACCTTCAAGCTAGGGTTTCAAGGCTTCTAATCAAGTTCTTCTTCAAGATTCTTCAAGAACCTTGTTTTTTTTCAAGTATGTAAGGCTATCATAGTGTTGGACTAGTTCATCCTCACGCCCTACATCTACTTTCAAATCAGTAAAAGAGAAATCTAGAATTCTTTCCCTAGTTTGAGTATTCTTGAGATAAGTTGATTTTGAGTTCTTGAGTTCGTGTTTCTTTTAAAAGTTCTATTCCTAAATATCGAATTGATATATTGTTATTGAGATCCTCCATAAACATGAGATCATGAACCTTGAATCCATAATCCAATTCAAGGAAAGTTAGGATCAAAATCAAGATAAGTCAAGAGTCAAGTTAAGAGAAGTTTATAAAGTTTTCCAAAAGTCATTTGCAAACGTTTTAACTTTGTTTTAAGACCTAAGTTTTGAGTTCAGTAAAGAGTAAAGTTGAAGTTCTTTCTTCAAAAGTATATGGGAACTATGTATTCCCAAAGAGTTTAAAATGTTTTTACATTTAAACAAGAAAGGAAACCTCGATTTTCAAAGAGCCTTCGGGCTAGTTTTCAGAAAAGAGAAATAGCTTTCTAAATGAAGAAAATAGGGAAACTGAGATTTCCAAGATAACCTTTGAGCTATGTTTTTGAGCACTAATCTCAAATCACAGAAGAAGTAAGTTTTTAAACATAAAGAACTAAGTATATTTTTGGGAGTAGTATTGAGCACCGATATGTGGATGCGAGTTCATATTAACTCAAGTCTCCATAAATCATGTAACCATCATGGATAGAAAAGGGTCATACTTTTTAGATGAATCCTTTTCGCATAGACTAGTGGATCCACTTAGTGAATTAGCTTCCTATATCACGACAAGGTATAGGATGGGCCTCGACAGCGTGAGGTAAAGCGCTGTATCATCACTATAATTCTTAAGTGATGGTTGTCGGTTAGAGAAACTCCCATAGTAGTAGTAGCATGGTTCCTCAAGGGGTTTTGCTTAGTGTGAATGGGGGTATGAGACTTCATTCATGCATTGCACAAGTAGACTTTGAGAGGGAGCATGGTTTGTATTTTTATGATATTATAATTATGAATTAACAACATGTTTTCAACAGTTTTGCTTTATATTGCACTTGTTTTAAACTGCTTTATAATGAAATGAGTTTATTTAAGTATTCAAGAGTTGAGAAGAGCCAAGGTAAGTGTTTCTTTCATAATCTCTGTCGAGCCTATGTTGTTTTAGCATTCTAACTCGCATACTCGTACATTCAATGTACTGATGCTAGTTGGCCTGCATCGTCTTATGATACAGACATAGGTAACTAGGATCGGCATCCGATGCATTCGTTGATCCAGTGAGCAGTTCAGAGTCTGTTAGTGAGCCTCTTTGCATTCTAGAGGGACTCTTTCACATTACTTTCAATTTTAGTATTAGTTCATTAGGATGTCGCGGGCCTGTCCCGACATTCATCTTAGTTGTTTAGAGGCTTCATAGATAGTCAGACAGTCAGTTAGTTAATTCAGTTGTCTTTACTTTTCATTTCATATGTTAAGACTTGAGTTGCCATTTTGGCCAAGTTGAATGTTGACTATTAAACATTCTATGTTATTTCATTAGTTAAGTTGAGTAGTGTAATAAATATGCATATAGTCTTCCGATGAGTTAGTAAGTCAGGCCAAGGGTTCGCTTGAGGCCAGAAATGGTGTTCGAGTGCCAGTCCTGCCCAGGGTGTAGGTTCGGGGCGTGACAAATTTGGTATTAGAGCACAGAGTTCAAGAGTCCTAGGGAGTTTATGAAGCTATGTCTGTAGAGTCCTATTTATCGGTGTGAAGCGCGCAACATATATAATTAGGAGGTTGCATCATTTAGGAATTTCTTCACTTCTTTCACACTCATTTCGTGCGTTGGAGTTTATCTCTAAAAAGTTTCCTTCTAATTCGTGCCTGTGTGTGTTTCAGATAATCATGCCTCCACAAAGAGCAGTCAGAGATCGTCCAGCTAGGAGGAATGTTGAAGAACAAGAGTTACCCAATGCACCTGAGGTGCAACCACAAGGAGAAGTGGCCAATGCTGAGGTCAGAGAGGAAATTAGGATGCTGAGTCAAGTTGTGACCAACCAAGCTGGGCAACAGAAAGGAGCTCGGCAGGAAGAGGCTGACACTTCAAGGATTCAAGAATTCTTGAGGATGAACCCTCCAAGTTTCACTGGTTCAAGCACTACTGAGGATCCGGAGAACTTCATTGAGGAGTTGAAGAAGGTATTTGAGGTGATGCATGTTGTTGATACTGTGAGAGTTGAGCTAGCTGCATATCAGATGAATAATATTGCTAGGACTTGGTTCGATCAGTGGAGAGGGGGGTAGAGCTGAGGATGCATCACCTGCGAGCTGGGCCTGTTTTGAGGAAGCTTTCTTGGGGCATTTCTTTCCCCGAGAACTGAAAGAGGCTAAGGCGTGAGAGTTCCTCACACTTAAGAAAGGTTCTTTAAGTGTTCATGAGTATGGGTTGAAATTCACCCAGCTGTCTCACTATGCTTCTGAAATGGTTGCGGACATGAGAAGTAGGATGAGCTTATTTGTTGCTGGGTTGTCTCGTCTATCGAGTAAGGAAGGCAGGGCTGCAATGTTGATAGGTGACATGGATATCTCGAGGTTGATGGTATATGTGCAGCAGGTTGAAGAAGAAAAGCTAAGAGATAGAGAACAATTTAAGAGCAAGAGAGCCAAGACAGGGAGTGAGTCCGGGTAGTAGAGGAGTAATGACAACTGGTCTTCTTTCCAAACATGAACATAAGGGACCTGCTCCATTATTTGCTAATGCGCCTGCACCTAGGAACAAATGTGAGTACATTGGTCAGAATTCCAGAGCTAAACTAGCACAGCCTCAAGGTAGGGTGGCACAAGGAAGTAACTAGGCTCCTACACGTGCTAGGTGTGGTAGAACCCACCCATGAAAGTATCGTCAGGGCCAGACAGGTTGTTTCAACTGTGGACAAGAGGGTCACTTCATGCGAGAGTGTCCAAAGGACATGCAAGGAAATGGTACTGGCGGAGGAACAAACCGCTTATATGTTATCAACAGTCGCCAAGAGCAAGATGATTCACCAGATGTTGTCACTAGTATGATTCAAGTCTTTGACTTTACTGTTTATGCTTTACTAGACCCAAGAGCGAGTTTATCTTTTATAACTCCTTATGTTGCTATGAATCTTAATGTTATTCCTGAGCAACTTAGTGAACCATTCAGTGTTTCTACACCTGTTGGTGAGTCTATTCTAGCAGAGAGAGAGTCTATCGTGATCGTCCTATTTTCGTCAATCACAAGAGTACCATGGCTGATTTAATTGAGTTAGACATGGTAGATTTTGATGTCATTCTTGGTGTGGACTGAATTCATGCCTGTTATGCCTCAGTTGATTGTAGAACTCAAGTTGTCAAGTTTCAGTTTCCAAATGAGCCCGTTTTAGAGTGGAAAAAAAAAGAAAAAAAAAAGAAAAGTTCAGTAGTGCCTAAGGGTCATTTCATTTCGTACCTTAAGGCAAGGTAGTTAGTTTCTGAGGGGTGTGTCTATCACTTAGTCCTAGTTAATGACTCAAGTGTTGAGGTACCTCCTATTCAGTCAGTTCCAGTAGTAAAAGAGTTTCCAGAAGTCTTTTCCTGATGACCTACCCGAAGTCCCTCCTAAGAGAGAAATAGACTTTGGCATAGACATCATTCCGAGATACTCGTCCTATATCTTTTCTTCCATACAGAATGACACCAGCTGAGTTGAAAGTTCATGAAAAGAATTACCCAACCCATGACTTAGAGTTGGTTGCTGTAAATTTTGCTTTGAAATATGCCGCCATTATCTTTATGGTGTTCATGTGCTTATTGGGTGTTTGAACAATATGTTTGATGTGACACCCTTAGCTTAGTAAGAGTAATCTCATTCGAGGATGAATGTTTCCAAGGGGGAGATATTGTAACATCTCGCAATTTGAAATAACTAGGAAGAAGCTTATAATTGGAAATAGTCATTTTTGGAAAGAATTAAAAATCTGGAAATTTGTCAAGTAAGGAAAGGTTGAGTTTTGTTCAACTTCAAACGGCCATAATTCCTAGCTCAGGATGATTTAGGTGTACTTCCAGATATGGTTGCAAAGCTCTTGGAAGGATCTTTCCAACGCCGCTGAGTTTATGGAAATTTGAGTTTGTATGATCCCCTTTGGAAGTTGGGCTGTTAGAATAAGGAAAGTCCAATCCGGATTTTTAAAGGGTAGTTTGGTCTTTTCCTTACCCTTTTGTTTCAATTCGTTTTTTTGTAATTAATTAGGGGCCTAATCTGAATTAGATCAGTTTACGCTTTTGGAAGAAGGGTTAGGGTTTTGAGAGAAGAGAAAAGAAGAGGAGAAAGAAAAAGAATCGCCAAGATCGTCGAAGTTTAACTTGAGGAATTCGTCGGGGGTGATCCCTACAAGGTATGTGAGATCACATAGCGTTGGGTTTTTTCACCCATGCGCAAATCATTATTTATTCAATGTAATTTCATTCTGAAATTTAAGGATTTAAGTTCTTGATGAGTTCTTGATAAGTGTTCTTGAAGTTTCATTATGTTTTGATGTAAGATTCTACTTGGGTCAATTTTAAATGACCATATCTCTTAGAATATAAAGAGTTACGTGACTCATAACCTATCGAAATAAAGGTAATTGAATCTACTTTCCAACGCCACCAATTTTGTGTCAATCCAATATCTGAGTAAAAAGTTATGACTATTTTAGTAACCTATACAGTGCTGTTACGAATTAGCCGACGGGAAAATATTAAAAAGAGTCGTTTTGGTCTTTTTACCTCCAAGAAAATCATAAACGAATTTCTTGACATATAAAAAGCTCAAAACAATCAGATTTTCATCTTCACTTATGAAAATCATAATTTTTGGCCATAGAGATTTCAAGAAACTAATTCAAGAATCTCAAGAAAGGTCTTCTTGATTGTTTACCTTCAAGCTAGGGTTTCAAAGCTTCTAATCAAGTTCTTCTTTAAGATTCTTCAAGAACCTTGTTTTTTTTCAAGTATGTAAGGCTATCATAGTGTTGGACTAGTTCGTCCTCACGCCCTACATCTACTTTCAAATCAGTAAAAGAGAAATATAGAATTCTTTCCCTAGATTTGAGTATTCTTGAGATAAGTTGATTTTGAGTTCTTGAGTTCGTGTTTCTTTTAAAAGTTCTATTCCTAATTATCGAATTGATATAATGTTATTGAGATCCTCCATAAACATGAGATTATGAACCTTGAATCCATAATCCAATTCAAGGAAAGTTAGGATCAAAGTCAAGATAAGTCAAGAGTCAAGTTAAGAGAAGTTCATAAAGTTTTCCAAAAGTCATTTGCAAATGATTTAACTTTGTTTTAAGACTTAAGTTTTGAGTTCAGTAAAGAGTAAAGTTGAAGTTCTTTCTTCAAAAGTATATAGGGACTATGTATTCCCAAAGAGTTTAAAATGTTTTTACATTTAAACAAGAAAGGAAACCTCGATTTTCAAAGAGCCTTCGGGCTAGTTTTCAGAAAAGAGAAATAACTTTCTAAATGAAGAAAGCAGGAAATCTGAGATTTCTAAGATAGCCTTTGAGCTAAGTTTTTGAGCTCTAATCTCAAATCACAGAAGAAGTATGTTTTTAAACATAAAGAACTAAGTATATTTTTGGGAGTAGTATTGAGCACTGATATGGGGATGCGAGTTCATATTAACTCAAGTCTCCATAAACCATGTAGCCATCATGGGTAGAAAAGGGTCATACTTTTTAGATGAATCCTTTTCGAATAGACTAGTGAATCCACTTAGTGAGTTAGCTTCCTATATCACGACAAGGTATAGGATGGGCCTCGGCAGCGTGAGGTAAAGCGTTGTATCATCACTATAGTTCTTAAGTGATGGTTGTCGGTTAGAGAAACTCCCATAGCAGTAGTAGAATGGTTCCTCAAGGGGTTTTGCTTAGTGTGAATGGGGGTATAGGACTTCATTCATGCATTGCACAAGTAGACTTTGAGAGGGAGCATGGTTTGTATTTTTATGATATTATAATTATGAATTGACAGCATGTTTTCAAGAGTTTTTCTTTATATTGCACTTGTTTTAAACTGCTTTATAATGAAATGAGTTTATTTAAGTATTCAAGAGTTGAGAAAAGCCAAGGTAAGTGTTTCTTTCATAATCTCTTTCGAGCCTATGTTGTTTTAGCATTTCAACTCGCATACTCGTACATTCAATGTACTGATGCCAGTTGGCCTGCATCGTCTTATGATGCAGACATAGGTAACTAGGATCGGCATCCGGCGCATTCGTTGATCCAGTGAGAAGTTCAGAGTCTGTTGGTGAGCCTCTTTGCATTCCAGAGGACTCCTTCACATTGCTTTCAGTTTTAGTATTAGTTCATTAGGATATCGCGGGCCTGTCCCAACATCCATCTTAGTTGTATAGAGGCTTCATAGATAGTCAGACAGTCAGTTAGTGAATTCAGTTGTCTTTACTTTTCATTTCATATGTTAAGATTTGAGTTGACATTTTGGCCAAGTTGAATGTTGACTATTAAACATTCTAAGTTATTTCAGTAGTTAAGTTGAGTAGTGTATAAATATGCATATAGTCTTCCGATGAGTTAGTAAGTCAGGCCAAGGGTTCGCTTGAGGCCAGAAATGGTGTTCGAGTGCCAGTCCCGCCCAGCGTGTAGGCTCGGGGCGTGACAAAACTGATGGGCCTTTTATTTTTTTTTCCTTTCATCTCCCCTCACCTAAGATTTTCCTATTTAAAGTCACCTAGAAAGGGAAATGAACTTACAAATCTCATATCTGATCTTCTTACTAAAGTATATCAATGTCAATTCTCTCTTATAAATTAAGATTCATTTTCTTATCTTTGGTATATAATTTCTCTCTTCTTTTTTGATTTCCTTTATGGTCATAGCCATAGACCGCAAAAGAAAAGTTGTCATCAATC